GGGCATGGCGTTTCTGCCAGAGGCTGATAGCTACAAGTACTCGACCCTCCTGCTGGCATGGTTGTAGCGCACCCAAGCCCCTCCGAGCTTGGCGCACGCCGCAGCGATATTGATCGCCGCCTGAAGCCCCGCCCTCGTCACCCCGTGGGAACTTTCAAGGCCAGCGATGCGTTCGAATGGTTCATATACGCCCCATTCGGTGTCAGCCTCCGTGATGCTCTTGCTGTGTTTCCTCTGGAATCCGCACAAACAAAAAAAGGGCGAATAGCAGGTCGAGGATGAGAAAGGGAGGAGCAAGGTGATGATGCGGCGAGCACCGAAGTCAGTGATGGGAAGCAGCGGCTAGGGAGGTGGAGGAGGAGGAGATGGAGGACCAAAGGAAATGGAGGGAGAGAAAGGAAGTGGGGGAGACGGATAACGTGGGCCTCATGGAGGCCCGCGATGGGGCTTGCCCTACCTCTGCAATCCCGTTGTTACTGTTGCCCTACTATACGGCCCCCTCCTCATCCTCCTCCTCCTCCTACCTCCTCCTGCTTTCCTCTTCCTCCTACCTCCTGCCTCCTCCTCCTCCGCCAGCTCCTCATCCTCATCCCATTATCCTCCTCTCATCTCGTCCTCCTCTCCTCCTCCTCCTCTCCCCCCCCCCCCCCCCTCCTCCTCCTCCTCCTCCTCCTCTCCTCCTCTCTATTCCTCCTCCTTCTCCTCCACCCTCTCTCATCCTCCTCTTCATCCTCCTCCTCCTTCTATCTCTCTTCTCTCTCTCTCTCGCTCTCTCTCTATCTCTCTCTCTCTCTCTTCGCTGTCCGTTTCCTGCTCCTCCTCCTCCTCCTCCTCCTCCTCCTCCTCCTCCCCCCACTCCTCATCCTCCTCTTCATCATCGTCCCCCTCCACCTCCCCGTGGATTAACACTATTGTCGTTGTTATCACAGGGGTCCTCTGGGACTCGTAGACCTCAAACTTTTTCGTCAACCAGTCCATGCGAAAGGCCTCCTTGGCCGACGACGAGACACAGGCCTTGAATTTCCGTTTCAGCTCCGCGCCCCCCTTCATTGCGCGGTCGAGACGCTGGGCCAGCGGCCCCCTGGCGCCGCCGCTGTGCCTTATGGGGTCAATGCCCAGGGGGGGCGCTCCATCCTCCTGCTTCTCCTTGCCCCCTCATCCTCCTCCTCCCCCTCCTCGCTCTCCTCCTCTTCCCCCGCCTCATCGGCCCCCTCCGCCACCTCCTCCTCCTCCTCCTCCTCCTCCTCCTCTCCCTCCTCCTGATTGTCGTCGTCCTCTTCCCCCTCCTCATCTTCCTTCTCATCTGCCCCCTATCGGCATCTTGCTGAACTCAAGGGGATCAAGCCAAGTGCGCCCCAGAACCTGAAACCACTTGCAACCGCTGGGCGAAAGCACGAGGATCACAACTAACCCCAGGACCCGAATCAAAACATTGAGGCGCCGCAGGAAGAGGGGGGCGTCCAAAGGACGCGGAAATTGAGGGGGTTGGGTAGTCCGCCATTGCACCGCTCGGCCATGGCTTTCTCGAGGATCGGGCCCTTGTTGGGATCGTCCTGGCCGGCCTCGCCGCCCCCTGGGGGCGGCCCTCGGGGGGGGGGGGGGGGGGGGGGGGGGGGGGGGCAAACAACGACGCGAACGAGGGCAGGGTTATACCCGTAAGACCCAGTTCCAAACATACCCCCAAGGAGGATTAAATGTCATAGAGTAACACTGAGCGTGGCGTTTGGCGCCTCTCGATCCTGGCGCTGGCGGGGCGGCGCGCTTCTCATTCGACCAGAAAGCTGCCATCTTGGTCTCGAGCTGCATGACCAAAGGGTTCTCTGGATCGGGCACCTGCGGCAAGGAGCCGCTCATCGCCTGGGGGGTCACCTCGACTTGCTCGGAGACCACCGCTTGCTGGGAGCAGACCACTTGCTGGGATACCTCCACCTGCTCGGAGATGCCGACGTGCTGAGCGGGCGCGTCGGGCTCCGCCGAGCCCGCAACCTGCGAGCGCCCCAAGGGGAGCTGGCTGCCAGTCCCAAACGGTTCAGGTAGCGAGTCGGGCTGCGAGGATGGCGGCTCCACCTGGGCCCGCGTGGCTGGCTGCAACGCTGGCGGCTCCACAGGACTGCGCAGGCCGACCGCAGCCTGCGCTGCTGGCGGCTCTGAGGCGGCAGGACTGACAGCAGCCTGCGAGGCTGCAGGGTCCAAGGCAGTAGAGGCGGCTGCCCCAGCCGAGGCCGCCGACTGGCTGGTCGTGCTGATCAGCGCATTCACGATTTTTGTCGCTGCCAAGAGGTCGACGGCCGTCAGGTCACCCGATGGGGCCTCCATAGTCTTCTTCAAATCCGCGAGCACGCCCATCAACGTCTCGTTGGCTTGCTTCTGCGTCTCCACGCAGGTCACTTGCGTCACTGCGGGCGCCTCCGCTGGCACTGCGGGCGCCTCCGCTGGCACTGCGGGCGCCTCTGCTGGCACTGCGGGCACCTCCGCTGGCACTGCGGGCGCCTCCGCTGGCACTGGGGTGCCAGGGGCTGTCGGCGTGCCCTCCGCGACTGTGTCCGAGCTGAGGCTATCTCCGATCATCGCGATCTCACCTGCAGGCTCGCCCAACTTCATTGCGACTTGGGGCTCGTCGCGGGAGGGCGCGTCGTTGGGGCTGCTGAATCCACTGTCATGGGCACCGCGCTGCTGCTGTGGCGTATGGCACCCCGTCGTAGGCGTAGGGGCGTTCCGCTTCTCGAAATCGGCCAGGGTTGGACAGCGACCCAAGTCGGTGGGCACCATGATGTCGGCAAACGATGCGTGCTAAATCAACGAGTGCCGTCGTGCTTCTGAATCCAGGGTCCCCGTCTTGAGCCAAAACGGCAGCAGGTGCAACGCAAGAATGGGCATCGTGCTGCAACGCCCTTCAGGCACCTTGTGGAGGCCGCTATGAGCCCCACAGGGCGGGCCCAAGATGAAAAGTTTTGCAGTGGGCCGACGGAACGCAGTCGGAGGCACTTTCGGGCGCGGCAGCGAAAACAACCCAACATTGCAGCACGATTCCCAAACGCATATCCGAACACCGTCTGAGCACGGTTGCAGTTCTCTTCCTTACCACCGTATATTATCATCCTCCTCAGATTACTCATCACCCTCCTCCGCCTCTCCTCACCTCCTCGTCCTCCTCCTCGTCCTCGTCCTCCTCCTCCTCCTCTTCGTCATCTTCCTCATCCTCGTGATCATCGCCCTTATTTTCTCATTGGCCCAACCTCTTACCAAGACGGCCGTAGGTTGAGTTCTATCGTGATTGCTGGTGCTGTTGAGCGTCCCTGACCGTTTCCCCCCTTTTATTTTCACCTAGCTTCACCTGCCCCCTCCTCTCCTCCCTCGCACAACCTCTGATTGCTGGTCTCCAGCCCCGACGGCCAGTCGCGAGCCCCCGACGCGACATCGGCAAATTCGAAGTGGGAAAATCTTATAGGGCCCAAGTGCCTACGGGGGTTCGCTGAAACCTCATTGGGTTCATTGTTTTTCATTGTTTTTTTTCATTGGTTTTTTCATTGATTTTTCATCGGCACCCTGGCCCCGGACATCAGAAGCCGCGAAACCAAGCGGACAGTAGGAGAAATCAGGGGGGGGGCAGAGGAGGAGGAGGAGGAGGAGGAGGAGGAGGAGGAGGAGGGGGAGGAAGAGGGGGAGGAGGAGGAGGAGCAGGGGGGAGAAGGAGGAGATGATGGACGAGGACGGCTCGAGCTCTTCAAGCCAAGGCCTACTCGTCCTCGCCGCTGTCGTCGGCCGCCAGGCGCTGCGCCGCTGCGGCGCCCAGGCCCACCGGAGGGCAGCCTGGCCCGCAGGCGTCCATGCCCAGGCCGCTCGCCAGGTTCTGGCCGAACCTTGTGCTCATGAGCAGCGTCAGCCCCGACATCTCGCCTGAGGCTGGGCTGGGCGTCGCCTGAGGCTGGGCTGGGCAGGGCGTCGCCTGAGGCTGGGCTGGGCTGGGCGTCGCCTGAAGCTGGGCTGGGATCGACGTCGCCGCGAGCATCTCGCGGGGCTCCTCCTGGTTGGCCACCTTGTCGAGCTTCAGGCGCTTGGAGTCTGGCGTGACGTCGGGGGACTTCACGGCCCTGCGAACTCTCGGTGCTTTCTGCTCCTCCTGCTCCTGCTTGCTCGTATCATCAGGCTCGTCGTAGTCGCTGCCGCCGCCAGCGTCCGACTCTGCCGCAGCTTCGCCACGATCGTCGAGTTCTGCAGGAGCTGGTGCAGCCGCTGGACGCTTCATGACCGCTGGAGTCTGGGCCCCGTCAGTGTCCCTGCTAAGCTCCTTCACCTTCTCGGTTTTCACAATCATGGCCTCTGGCTTGGTGGTGATGCGGCGGTCTGCAAACATCTTGACGAGAGAACCTGCCCACTCGAACGTCTTGGATTCGTCTCCACAGAAGTTAGCGCAGTTCATCTGCGTCATCTGCTCGGGACATGCACCAGGGGCCTGCTTCACGATGATGACCAGCCTCTGAGGTTCTTTCCCTGCCACCCTATGATTTTTCATCTTGGCGTAGATCACGTGGCCGTCGTTCGGGCCCCCATGGATTGTGGTGTGGAACTGCATCGCGTGCTTCTCTTTCGCACCCGTCGGCGTAGTATCAGGCGTGAGGGAGGCATCATATACCCACGAGCACCCGTCGGACCACGTGACAGTGACCTTGTTGTTCTTGTCAGGCTCGCTCTGGGTTTCGGCGTACTCCGCCAAGGCCTTCGGTCTGCTGATCGGGAGCCGATATGCTTTGTTCTTATGCTCGTCGATCCTGAAAATCCATGCCGCTGCAGCCGCCTCTGAAGCACCACCTCCGCTGCAGCTCGAACCTGGGGCAGCGCCCTCTGATGGCCCGCCGCCGTCGCCTCCTGGAATAGTGATGCCATGCTCCTGAGGTTCCAAAGAAACAGTAGGAGCAATAACACTGAGACGTGGAGGATGAGACGACTGGAGAGGGCTACATGATAATATTGTGTCGGTGGTGCCGATCCTCAGCTGCGACCTGGAACCACTTCGGCACCTTCGCGCGGCCGAGGACCTTGTGCGCGTGCTGGCACATCGTCCGCACGCGCCCGCTGTACTCGGTAGCCCAAGCAGATTTTGCTTTGGGGTTGAGCTTCCAACTGTCGCGATGTTCTGCAGCGATCGTCGTCAGCGCCATGATAGTGGCCAGCTTCCCGAGGCACGCCGAAGGGTGAACCTCACTGAGGATCGCCGATATCATCTTCATGTTCTTCACAATGGCATCCTTGTTCGTCGAGGCGCTATCGCCCTTCACGTGCTTGTTGGGATAGGCCAGGAAGTCCCGCTCCGTGACGAACCGCTTCAGCAC